ATGTGGGAGTGGAGAAAACCGTGGAGAGTATACAACGAGTGTACTATTGGCCCAAAATACGTGAGGATGTGGAGTCTTATGTTCGAAGTTGTGTTGCTTGTCAACAGAACAAGGCAAGTAATCAAAAACCAACGGGTTTATTACAGCCTCTTCCTATTCCCGAACAGCGGTGGGAACATGTCACCATGGATCTTGTATGTGAGTTACCAAGGACTTCGTTAGGACATGATTCAGTGGTGGTTTTTGTGGACAAATTGAGCAAGATGATTCACATCAGGCCAACCACAAAAACAGTTACAGCTCCACAACTAGCTCAATTGTATATAGATGCAGTTTTTGTGAATCATGGCTTAAGCAAAGTGTTAATCACGGATAGAGGTACTCACTTCACTAGTTTATTTTGGAAAACTTTGTTTAGTTTTTTCAAAACAAAACTAGCAATGTCAACGGCCTATCATCCTCAAACTGATGGACAAACTGAGAGGGCAAATAGAACCATAGAGGATATGCTACGAGCATTCACATTAGAAGAGCAAGAAGAGTGGGACAATCTTTTGCCACTTGTGGAATTTGCATATAACAATTCTGTTAATGCATCCACAAAAGTGTCTCCATTTTTTCTTATGTATGGAGCTCATCCAATAACTCCTTCAAGTTTGATGAGACTTCCCAAAGGAGATGAGTTTTCGACCAAAGTTGCAGCAGTCAACGAATTCGTGGAGCATATTCACCGAGGACTACATCAGGCCAAGGAGAAGTTGGTGATAGCTCAAAATCGGCAAAAGCAGCATGCCGATGCTCATCGTAGAGAAGTGATTTTTGAGGTTGGAGATCATGTTTGGTTATCTACAACGAATTTGTCTCTTGTAGGAACACCAAAGTTAAACCCTAGGTTCATTGGTTTTGAAGCGTGTTGGTGAAGTGTCATACAAGTTGGAACTTCCGTCACATATGAAAATACATCCAGTATTTCATGTGTCACGATTGCGAAAACATGTACCACGACCAAAACAATTCACCAACCAACAAGCACCACCTCCTCTTCCAACCTTGATAGAAGATCATGAGGAGTTTGAGGTAGAAAAGATACTCAAGAAACGAATTCGAGGTCATAAATATCCCAAAGTAGAGTATTTGATTCAATGGAAAGGCTATCCATCCTATGAATCAACTTGGGAACCAGCTAAAAATTTAGCAAATGCACCTTTGATAGTTTAGGAGTTTGAACGTATGTGCAACGAGGACGTTGCATCTTAAAAGGAGGGAGGTTTGTAACTATCTTTAGTTAGTTAGAACTAAAGTAGAGGTTACTCTGAATACGGATGTAGATACTTTAGTGTGCACTAGTCATAGCTGCCACATCAGCGATCCGCGCACTTGGTAGGTACAGAGTGGGTGTGTTAGTTGGGTGCGCCACGTCAGCGATCCGTGTGCTTGGTAGGGTTATCCGCCACGTCATCCATCCACTAGGAGTGGGATGGATGGTGGGGGATTAGATCTTATCACCTTGTACTTGTTGGTGAGAGCTATATAAGGGAGAGGAGAACCATTGTTGGTATCTCTCATCTTCAGAGTTTATGTTTCTATCTTCGAGTGAACTTCTCTCTAAACCCTAGTGTTACACATCCTTCTTTTCCTGCATTCTACCCTGCAAGTGAATACGCGATTACTGATCTTGACTGGAGATTATGTGCTCCAGTTAAAATCTTGCAACTAAAGCTAGGAATTTTTAACTTTAAAGATTACAACAGTTGTTAGAGCTCGATTATGGCAATTGCATGTTGTTTTTTGCATCTTTTTCATGTATCATTTTTGAGATTCCAACTATTGTGCTTCATCATTGTAACACTAAGTTTAGAAAAAAATTCACTCGAAGATAAAAACATAAACTCGGAAGATGAGAGATACTAACAATGATTATCATCTCCCTTATATAGCTCTCACCAACCAATACAAAAGATATGATCTTATCCCTATCATCCATCCCATTCCTAGTAGATAGATGACGTGGCGGATAACCCTAACAAGTATAAGGATTGCTAACGTTGCGCTCCCAAGTAACACACTAACTAACACATTCAATCTTTATCTAACAAGCACACAGTTAGTTGACGTGGCGCTGTCAACCAACACACATATTCTCTATCTACCAAGCATGTGGATCGCTGACATGGCAACTATGACAAGTTCACGCTAAAGTATCTATATCTACATTTGGAATAACCTTTACTTTAGTTCTAACTAAATAAATATGGTTACAATCATCATTTGTAATACCACCCAAAAAGTCATTTGTACTAAAACATATATTATCGACATTTTGAATGCTCTAAATTAGGAAGCTTTTGACTACTGGAATTTGTTGGCTCTTCTATGTGTGAAGTTCTTTCAGCCTCTTAGAATTTGTAGATGGCGATATGATGTGTTGTAAGTTGTAACATATAAAGTAGATTGTTGTCAATCACATTGTAGATTATTTGGCAGAGTATATTCTTTGCTTTGGTGAGTTTAATGTCTTCCAATCTCATCTTTTTGCAATATATGTCATTTCTGTGCAATTCTAGAAATATAAATGAGCTTAGATAGACATTACCCTATTTTCTATAATTTATTGCTTCTTAAAGAGTCTATGATGTATCTTGTTCCGCTCTTTTGACATATCATCATTGCAAAAGTCATTTACAAACATGAAAAAAGGTAAAAGAATACAAAAAATAAAATGCTTTACTTTCTTGCAAAAGCCTCCAAAGTGCATAGAACATCATCTATAATCTTTGATAATAAATTCATCAACTTCTAACATAATAATCTTTGGTTGCATTAGAATTTGATGAATCTTTAGTCAAAGATTAGTTAGAGGAAGGTTAGTTAGAACCTAGTTAGAGGAAGATTGTGCAATAATATTTTGCTGCAGAACTTCCTCTACTTCTTTGTGAACTTAAGCAAATACATATGAATTTAATATTGCAAGTGATAATGAATTTACCACTTACAATCAAGTTGTGCTCATGCTGCATCTTTTTTCTTCTTTTGCTTGTAGCGTACACAACTGTATACTTCAGTATTGTTTAAATTATGCTTTTATCGTGAAACACAAAGCCAACAAAAATTTTAATCTAAAATGCAACCAACCAAATTGCAATAACCCCTTTTTCTAACAAGCTTATGAAATTTAGTACAAGATTTTTTATCAATAGTGATCCAATCAACCGATTTTGATTTATATTTGCACTTCTTGATCCAAAGTTGCCATATAAGATTCAAACATGAAGAATTTGGCATTATCAAACAGTTGAAATGAAATTGCTGCGCTCAATTGCATTTTATCACACAATAAGTGTGATGCTTGATCTGATTGCATTTTCATTTATATTAGGTCATCATTTTATTTTTGCTCGATTTACGATTTAAAATTTATTTGCTCATAAAGATTCATAGACTTCTAATTTATAGTATCAAACAATCTCTACACTTTGTCTTCATCACATATGACACCGCATTGATGCTACATGCAATTTATTTGTAGATTTTGATACTTCTTGATATTCATGATAAAGTAGTTCATCTAGTTTTGCCCGCAGCTTTATATCTTGAACATTGACACGAATAACAAAATTACTGCTGCAATTAGCGTATGGTGACATTGCGCTCCATCCCTAGAAAAATTTATCACTCTTAATATCTTTGGTTGGATCTACATAAAGGTTTCTCTTCATGATTGAACAACTTGCGACTCCATCCAAGATAAAATAGACGATTGATGGTGTGATAGTTTGTACTTTTAAAACTCTACATTATCCATTTTATTTTACACAAGGATGAACTAAAACTTGGTAAAAATTCTACCTTATCACCCTCTACTAAGGTCTTGGTAGTGAAAACTCTAGTTTTTTGCTTAGACCCTTTGCTACTTGATTTGCATACTAGATCTTGGCGTAAATTTTTCAATTTTTTTTTTTGGACAAAGTTTCATGGAGAATATCAATCTCGCACGCTATGTTTGAACCTCGTCTCATCTCTTAATTCTTGTAGATTTGATAACAATTGTAGTAAAAAACAAGAGATTCCATAAATATCACAAACAAAGAAACCACCTAGACTCTATTAAGGTATTCGCAATGAAAACTTTAGATTTTTTGCTTAGACCGTTTGCTTCTTGATTTCCATACTAGATCTTGATGTGGATTTTTCAACTCTTTCTTCTTTGACAAAGTCTCCTGTAGAATATCAATCTGGTTGATCTCGCACAATATGTCTGAACTTCGTCTCTCAATTCTTGTAATTTTGATATCAATTGTAGAAAAAACAAGAGAATCTCTAAACATCAGAAACAAATAAGCCACCTAGACACAAACATATGTGATTCAATGTAGCTCGCGTTACTATTTTATACAAGGTAACACAAACACTAGGTCCAACTCTAAGTATAATCATAGTTTGATTAACTAACATTTAACCCAAGATTCAATCAACGTTAACACTTATAGTTTGATAAAACACATGTTGCTCATCACTTGCAAGCCAAAAGACAATAGATTTGTGATAAGACATGGTTCTTACATATTCATAGCACTTGTGCGAGGGAAGCAAAACTTACAATATTGGGGATCAGCCACATCCTACCACTTTGGTTTCTAACGCTGATTTGATGGGGTCTTATCATCCTTTTCGTTGTATTAGTAGCAATTAGAAAAAAAAATACATAAACCTCCGATTCGTTCGACCTATAGCGATGGAGCAGTATGGGTCAATCCGTGTGGCCAGTTCGCCAAAAAGTGAAGCAATCTACGGTCGAAACCTCCCGAAAGTGAGAATGTGCTCGTCTACATGCACCGCATCTCGGAAACGCGTCATCCGAGCAGATGCAGTGGATCTGGACGAAGATACGGTACCGGACTAGGAATATGCGCATGCGGGAAGAGAATGGCATGATGCGTTACGGAGCGAGAGATATTCGCTCAGCCCCTGCGACGCTCGCGCGGCAGCAGCTGCCCTTCAAATCGTCGTCGCCTCGCTCTCCCGGTGCTTCGCTCGCCCGAGCATATGACGCAGAGATCGCATAAATCCCCCCAGCGACCCCGCTCGATCCTCACTGACTCCTCGTCCCTTTCACACGGGGACCGTTCGGGACTTTGTAACGCTTCTCGTATTGTAATATAAGTGTGATTCGCTTCGTCGAGAATAGGAATAGTGGGAGGATGATTTTTCGATTTATTAACCGAATGCGCTCGGGTGGATCCGAATTGTGCGAGCTCGGCATGTACGCGGGCGAAGCGATCGATGCACGTCAAGGTCCAGGAGGTCGTGCATCGGATGTCGTCGCTGCGGCTGGGGAGAATCGGTTCGAACGAGGATGAACGACGATCGATCTGATCTGATCTGATCTGATTCGATCCGGTATAAGTTGCGGAGGAGGACAAGCACGAGGAAATATGGCAGTCGGGAAGAGGATCGAGGCCCACCAGCGAACGAATGGCGATTGGTCCGACAACTTCTTCTCTGGAGCGAGTGCTTCGCTTTGTTCCAAAGTCATTCTTCAGCCCTTCGATACGTCGAAGACCGTCCTGCAGGTGACTGCCTACAGAGCCTTGACTACTGACCACTGCCCGAATCCTCCTCGCCTGAGCTCTGCTTTCCTCCCGATCCCGACCGCGTCAATCTGAGATCGAATAGAATCGCACGTAAGTCCGGGAGGAAGCCAGCGGAGGCGAGCTGGGTGTCAGCAGCTGTGAGGATGGACACCAGTGCGATGCAGAATTGTGGCTTTTGATGACTGCGTTGATCGCGATGTAAGGATCGCTGTAACCTCGTTGCTTCTCGTGGACTGGGTTCAGGCGACGAAGGAACTGAGAGGAGGGTATACCAACTTGGCTCAGTGCATGGTAGGTTTGGTACGAAACAGAGGATTCGGCGCTTTGTACACGGGCTTCTTGGCATCCATCGCGGTCTCGGCTCCGTCTTCTGCAGTCTTCGCAGCAGGTTACGAATTCTCCAAAGCATGGGTAGAAAAAGCATCCCACGATTCGGCTCTGCCGCTGCTGCAACTGGCTCCCGTGCTGGCTGCTGCGTTTGGGAACGTGGCGGCCAGTGTGGTGAGAGTTCCCCCGGAAATCATCAAACAGCGCGTGCAGGCTGGAATTTATCGGTAATTCACGTAAATCTATCTGCCCGGCAGTTTTGCGTTGTGCGTCAAATTGTTATTTTTTAAAAGTTTTTTTAACGATTTTTAGTTCATGCGCAGTAATGTGTTTGAGGCGACGACTTCCGTCTGGCTTAAGGAGGGCTTTACGGGCTTTTATCGGGGCTACACAGCGATGGTAGTTTTCAAAAAACCTTCTGCCTAGGGATGAAATGTGTAGGACTCGTGATTGGATATCGACGATAGAGTTAGCAACAAATTCTAGTGTTATTGTCATTATTATTGTACGTTCTTAGAAAAGAACGAATGATATATAGGGTGCAATTGCTCTGCCTAGAATTAGGAATTCTACAGCAAGCTGCATGCCATTCTCTCCATGTGTCAGAAGTGGATCGGGTAATATACAGCGCAGTTGTTGGCAGTAGTGAAGTGAATTCGAGCTCATTGTTGCGTTGATCCAGGTCCGGAGATTTGACTCTTGCCTCGTGCGTATCAGTGACAATATTCCATTTGTTCTTGGTTGCTTGGTTCTAATACAGGTGGCTCGAGATATTCCGTACTCCGCACTTCAGTTTATGACCTTCGAGATTTTGAAAAAGCGTAGGCTGAGGACTCGCTTCAAGTCCAAGCAGCAGGGCAAACCAAAAAACGGCGAAGGCATGATGACTGATATGTGGATGGGAGCTGTAAGCAGCCTGTTTTTGCCCTGTTCAAGAAATGGAGTTTTCCAGGGCATAGTATATAATTTTCTGTCGTTGTGTCTTCTTTAGGATGGTTGCATTTGGCTTTACTGTGAGGCTATGGGAAATATTCTGAATATGTTATAACAGAGAAGCTTGAATGGATTCGGATTACCTGAATGTGATTTTTCATCCGTGAAGTCTTGAAAAGCCTGCAGAAGTCTTGGTGCACTGGTTAATGAGTACCAACATGAAGCTGAATTTTCGCAGATTGCGGGAGCGGTTGCAAGTACTTTGACGACTCCATTGGACGTGGTGAAAACCAGAGTCATGACACAAACCTTCGCAGGAAGAGCTGTATATCCCGGACTTCCTGCCACCGTAAAGCAAATCTGGATAGAAGAAGTATGGCCAACTTTACCTTCATGTCAATTGAATATTGCGCTTCTTCATCACTATAACAATGGACCTGACAGTAGGCCGCCAACATCAAGCAGGTAAGCTGAAATACTTTGTTTTTGCAGGGCCTCGTTGGTTTCGGACGTGGAATGCTGCCGAGAGTCCTATACAAGGTAATATAAGGCTAATTTCCACCTCTTAAACATTATTCAAATTGTCAGATACTTTCATGGTGCACGAGTCGGTGGATAAAGTGACGATCTTGAAACCTTTGGGCTAGTACACTGCTAGGAACCTATCTCCAAGCCTGTGTCTTCTTAAGTCTTCGTGTCCCACGCTCTGATGGCTCTCAGACTGCTCTGCATATGTGATACAACGTAGGTTCCGGCATCTGCAGTATTTCTAGTCTGCTACGAAGCTATGAAAAGGATTCTGTCCTCTGCGAGACGGGCTCGGCAACTGAAACACATGAAATCGGAGAAAGCAAGCTTCATCCCTATTCACCCAATCGCAGAAGGTAATCAAACGTTATGTTGTGTTTTTAACACTTGCCAATTCTGAAGGTGGAATCCCTCTGTTCATTGTTAGTTTCTATGCTCTCGCGAACCCAGTCCGCACCTGAGATGATTTTGATAACCTGGGCTGTGACATGGACTGCTCCTTCATATCTTCTTAATCACGAAGAACTCCGAACTCTGTGCATCTTGGTATTTGGTTATGCATCCATCTGCTAGACGTTTGTTTCATCGTATATGTATATGTGTCATCGACGACATTCTAATGCAGTTAAAAGTCTCATTATTGATATGGAATGAATTATTGCAGACTGTAAGCTTTCAACAGAAGCGACCGTTAGGAAGGCCAAGCCAGCAATCGCGTAGACGGTGTTATATGGTTGTACAGTGAATTTATGTACATTGATAGGCAACTTTCGTGTAACGTATAAGGGGCGGGGAAGTGAGTTGTACATTAGTTTGAAATGCTTGCTGAGGTGGTCTTCTGACATGTACACTAAAGGTAGTTGCAGTTTATGAGAGTTTCACGAGATATTTTCTCCATCGGAATGGTACAGTAAGATGCTGGTATGTACAGAGTTTGCAAAATCCGGGTCGGGAAAGTAAATTGTATATTAGTTTGAGATGCTGGGTGAGGTTGCTTTCTGACATTTACACTAGAGGTAGTTGCAGTTCATGAGAGTTTCATGATTGTATTTACTCCATGGACATCGTACAGTAAAGTGCTGTTTTGTACAGGGTTTTCAAAATATTTGTATACGATTGACGTGTCACAACGCTCAATTTTTAGCAAGTAGATTGTGAGAAGTCTATCTCCACATCTCTGTACAGAATTTAGGTGGAATTGACTAGGGGTGAGGAAACATAAGAAAAACGTAGTTTTCGTAAGTTTTATCATCGACAAAACCGAGGAAAGGAATTTGATTATCAAGCTTGGTGACAAATTCAATACTAACTGTCAAAACCGAATTATAATCCTCGGCATCATATTTCTTTATGTAAGAAAAGTTGAAAGAATTTCGCGTGTCTCCATTATATGACACTCCTATCCATATTTTTAGGTTAAAATCTGCAGGGCCTACTATCTTACTTCCTTCCATTCATTTAGCACCTGTATCTCCTGGCTCCGAGTTCTGTTGGTCCATTTCAATATTACACCACTGCAGTTCATTTTGGATTAAAAGTCTGCTTTTGAAACAACTGTCTTGTTTCCTTGTGAGGGCCACCTGAAGCTCTTTACCTTGATAGTTGCGTCTCTCCACACCTTTGGTAGTTAGTACAGACTCTAATTTGTAGTTACCGAAGCTTTTGTCGAAAAATTCATCTGTTTTCCGCGGCAATTAATATTAATCTGCTTTTAACAATATACTCACAGCTAATATACTACAAACTTCGTAGTGTTTCTAAGGCGACGATACTCTTCCTTGTCATGTGAATTTCTGCCAACGCTCTTCTAAAATCGTACGATATGTTTAACGGTGCATCTTCCACACTTACTGTCTCCGCTTGCCATATCTCAGATTAGCCCATAGGTCTCATTCACTATTATAAGAGGATCTAATTGTATATGAAAACTGATCGGGAGAGTCCCGCGGCAGCGGCAGTCATTCACTTATACGTCCATTTTAAATAGAAAAATTCTTCCATCATGCTTTCTCCTATCTCGAGGCTTCTTCGACATTCCTTTAGGCAGATCATAGCACGTTAAATTCTAACTTCTGACTCATACTTAGCACATGTAGACAGTTTCTATGAGCTAGTGTACGGGTAATAAATAGATGGATGATTCTCATCTCTCACCATCTCCTTCTATCTTCAGACAACAGCAATCTTCGCCATTTATGTGGTGTTTACGTTCACCCACAAAGATAGGAGTGGGATTCATCAATTACATCAGGGAGCGTTTACTCCTCACTCGTATCATCATTTATATCCTTGTTTTTATATTGCATAGGTTAAACTGCTATAGTGATTGCTCTTACTTTGAGATCTTCTCAATGTGGAACGTCCAATACATCCATTATTTGAATACATACGCAGTGTTACTATTAACATAAGGAAAAATTGCTAAGAAACAGCTCCTACTACTTTTCTTTTCAACGGCATATATTTATGTAACTTATAATAGCTTTTGTATAGGTGGCAGGTAAGTTTGCTTGATACATGTAGTATCAATCTTCTCATGAAGAGTAAGAACAGAAGTAATAAATAATAAGAACATATAACGAGATTTGGTAGAATGTCTAGAGATTTGGTAGAATGTCTAGAGAAAGTTTAGAACATACAACATTGATCTATATGTAACATCATGTAGCTAATAAGTACTCGCCTTATTATACTGATGTCATTTTTTGATTCACTTGGGTTATAGGGTCTGAGTATAAATTTCCAATCTTTCTAATGGATAGTTATTTTTCTGCAAATTTAGAGCATATTTGTGCCTAGTCTTTTATAGTTTTACATACCATACATTGCCATGCTCTAGAAACTGGGGTTGATTCCCGAGTTCATTAGACACCATGAATACCTCGGAATTGTGCCCAGCCTAAGAATTTAACAATAGTTTCGAAGTGTGACAAGCCTAAAACTCTAACAATAGCTAATCCTCGAGTATAAGCCAGGAAATTTTATGAAACCAATATCTTTGTCGAATGAACCAGTAGCTTGATTGAAAGCAGCATAAAAACGAATCACATTCAGCTTGATTCATAAACTTAACAATAATGGAGGTTTGTTTCCATTACAAAAAGAAGGTTTGTTTCCATTACAAAAAGAAGTTTTGTTTCCATTACAAAAAGATTGAGCCAAATCCAGATTAGTAACATCAAGTGTTTCAGCCAAGACTTAGTGACAACACTTTTCATTTAAATCATTTTTTCATTCAACAACCATTTCCCATTTACTTCACCTCTTTCTTCTCAGATTCAGATAACCCAGAAATCCTCACGTTATTTCTACAAGCAAATTGACTAGCCTTTTCAATCTTTTGCTCTTGACAAAAAAAGACATTAGCAGACAAGTTATCACCCGCAAGAAAAAAGCTACATGGGGTAGACAAGTTATCACCCGCAAGAAAAAAGCTACATGGGGTAGACAAGTTATCACCCTCAAGAATAAAGCTACATGAGATAATTTAACAAGCTCGGATAGCAAAATTTATAAGTTTGAATGCTGTAGAAAGAATAATTAGCTGTCAAATGTCGCTGCAATTTTTGTCCGCCATAAGCATATGAACTTTAGAGTGCACTCAACCACCTCACTTATCTTAACTAATACAGCGGCATGTATGAGTTCAGTTTGAAATCGACCAACAATTTTTTTTCATCGCAGAGATCGTATAATCCGAGTGAACCACTAAGTGATGTATGTATAGTAGGATGAGATCTAATTAGCCCGGGTGAAGGATAACTAGCCGCTCTCAACGTCATTCTTATCAATATTTTCAATTAACACAATATCATCATATTTTAATACTTGACAAAGAAATTGTTTTAAAATCATTTACATGTGAAGATGAAATCTACCTTTTACATATACTTATGTATATTTGTACTGAATTGTACACAACTCTCAATTTCTCATGGAACTTGTACATCGCTTCAATTTCTTGAATCGGCTTTAATTGCAAACGGTGCTGCTTTCTATTTTCCATGAGTTTAATCAAACTCGTTGAGAGGTAGGTTTAACTCTTATATCTCAAAAACTACTTTTGTTCTCAATCATAGCACCTTGCACATGCGATCGCGTTCCATGGCTGTGTACACTTGATGATGCTTTTCAAGAGAATCAATAAAACTTCACATCATTTGATCCGATCTAACCTCTAAATTTCTGCACCGCTATACAAAAAATACAATGTCTTAGTTTGTAAAAATAGAAGATCATTGTCATTCATCACACTTGATAAACTTCAAGTTTGTAGAGTTTATGAAAACTTATCACATGTTCCTCCTTCATAACTTTCACAAGACATTGTAGCCAATCAAGCTTATTACTAGTCTTTTTCGTTTTATATAGCTCTGTTTAATTTTATCCAGCTCCAAGAAGAGCAACACAAGAATTTAAATATGTAATATATATATATATATATACCTTGAAAATTGGCTTTGACGTTTTTGTGCGCAAGGCATAAGACTTGTAAAATAACTTATGTCGCCATATGTTTTTTTTAGGCAGATTTGGCCAAAGAAAATCCACCCGTATTAATATTTATTTTCCATCATATTTTTGCACAGTCAACTAAGTTTCTTCTAAAATTATAAGAATATATCTCAAGAAAATTATCAGAATAATCTTTTTCAAATGAATCAAATATAGATCATATTGTTTCCAATGTTTCATATCCTCTTGCAAATCTTACAGACCTTCTACCACTAGATTGGGATGACCCACTAAACCATTACAAACGTCACTAAGTGAGTGTAGTGGTAGCGAAGATCAGCATATTTCATTTTCTAGTTAACTCTAGTGGTGCACGTCGGCACTTGATCAATAAAGGCAGTTAACTATGGTGATGTGACAGAGGGCGAGCTTCTCGAGACTTGACGACTTCTCATGAATTAGGAATTAGGAATGTAATAACCCACCAAAGGCTAAAACTGCAATATAGTGGTAGAAAGGTCAAACCCACAGGGACAGAGGCAACACACAGAGTACAAAGTGTCACATTTAATAGAATATTGAAGAGTTTGAATTCTCAGGCGACTGTCACTCCCAGAAATACTGCAAGTGTCCACTAGGAGATCACCCGGAGGTCGCACAGTGCAGCGTAGTTCACTCAACACACACACACACACACATAAAACTATAGAAACACAACTCAGAGGTCGGTTAGGACCTCTACTTAAGATTTCAGGGGGAAAGTCTCTCGCGAATACACCTAACGAATCTGCGGGTAGTGACTCCCAACTCCGGCTTTTACAACCCTTCCACTAGTTTCTGCTAGCATAGGGAACCCGGAGTGGACTTCCTATTTCGGATCGAAGTCACTCACACGCGGTGAACAACACACTCAACTCACAAAACGCGCAGAGAACACAGGTCCGAACTGAGAGACTCAACTGAGAAACGATCCAGTAGCACACCATAACAGTCTATTGAAGAGTTTGAATTCTTAGGCACTTGTCATTCCCAGAAATACTACAAAGGTTGTCCTGAAGGCACCTGCTGCAGCGTAACCTGAATTACAACCAAGGCTTACTCGAAGTAACAAAACTTCACTTTGGTATTCAGGGGAAAAATCCCGAAGGAGTACAATCAGGAACAATCACTCGAAAGTGTAAAGGGGAACTGTTCAAGTATCTAACTAGTAACTGGCTCTAAGCATCGGCAATCACCCGCAGGTGTAGATCCTAACTACTCAAGTCTCTAACCAGTATACTAGCTCTGCACATTCGGCCGAAGACCTTCAGCTACAAAATGCGGATCGCCAAGTTGTAGCTCCTCTTGCGTGGTGACAGAACTAAGGACACAAACACGCAGAGAAAATGAGTTCCTGATCTGCACTTCCGAAACTGGAAGAATCCCAAGGCAAGACGCCTTGAACTACTTTATACCTTCTAAATTCTAACTAACACTACACTACACTGCACTACACGCCTGCATGGAACCACGCTACGCTACACTCTGCAGATCCCACTTCGCCTTCTGCGCGACGGACTGCCGCGCACTAACTACCTACCCGACCAGTCTTCAGCTCGACTGCGCAGTCCCAGCCGCCACTACACCGCAGTAACCTCT